CCATAACTCTGTGTTGACATTCATTCATTGCTTCAACAGACACCTATTAATAGAACCTACAGAGTATATGTCACTAGATCTTATAATTTGTTTATGTCATAGACAATCAAATCTCATCATTTCTAACAGGAGCTGGATCCTTTGACAGCTAGAATCAATAAAAGTGCTAAGCACTTAAGGTTAGTGCATTGTGATTTACTTCCCTGCTTCTTTATACCCTAGAGATATGGGTACCTAGAGGGTGGGTAGTGAGGAACAGCAGCTCTTTGAGCATTCCCCTGGCCACACAGGCATTCAGGAATCCTCATCGTGGTTAGCATGTTTGTTGATAGTTAGACTCTGAAATGACTGAGTGAAGATTGAGACAGAGCTAACCTGACAACCTGAGAGCTTAAAAGCATCAATTAGGGACTGTGCAAGAATTTGACCTTCCAACTACCTCAATATTGTGGGTTTGGTTCCTATAATGGAAGTTTAAAAAAAGAAACCATTCTTCCATGCTTTATAGTGATTATTCTATCAAAGCAATAAAGGACATGAATTAATAAGTACCTATGAGTATAATTTTAAGACTCACACACTAGGGACTGAAGTGATGTGGATACAGTCTAGGAACTGCATTCCATGAGTGTCCACAACTCACTCACCCCTTAGTACTAATCATCCTTAGAAGAGCCAATTTCCCATAAGAGAGAAGCCCAATGCATTTTGTGCCTACTAATCATTGGCAGATACTCAGATTGCACTTCTTAATTAGGTGACAAAGCAGCCTCACATACATGGTAGTTAGTGCTAATGAAAATTTACATAAGAAACCAAAGAGAATTAAATAGATGTGAAGATTATCATTTTGCACTTTATCTTTCTATATGTGGTAATAAAAAAGTGTGAATTGAAAAATCTAAAGAAAAATAATGGGTGATTTATTTTTAAAAACAAAAAACACTTAGCAAGAAGCCATACTTATAAATTCAAAAAGTACCCTAGTGTTTCATTTTGACAATACATAACAATGACGACATAAAATTTGTTTTAATACTCTAGAGTCCTGATGAATAGGCTGTAAAATGTTTACAATTAATGCTGTTTTTTTCTCACACATTTTTAAAGAACTAACTTCATACTGTTTAAAGTAAATAATGATAATGCTATAGCTTTTTGGTTTGTTATTATAGATACGAATGTAAAAGAAGAGATAACCACCAAGAAAGAGAACTCAGAAAGTATTATACAGTTTATTATTATTTACCACTTAGAATTTTTTGGACATAGTTTATAATTGGCAAAGTTTTTCCAATTTGCTGTAATAAGTCAACTGCTCTCAAAATCTCATGTACCTGAATAATTTCCAGTTGAATTTAACTACTCTTCTGTTTTCTATTCCTTGTTTTCCTTTTCAAATACACTTGAGAATATGTGATACTTTGTTTAGTGGAAAATATTTGCAACTTTGTTTAATCTTTTAGTTAAAAAATCGTGTAAATAATAGAAATCACATGACAATAAAAGGAATTATTCAGTTACAAACATTTACTGGAGTGTATTTTAAATACTTTAGCAGTAGATTGTGTTTTTATAATATATCTGAAAATGTCTAGACTTATATAAACAATGTCAATCATAAAATTTTTGAATTCTGTGAATGTTTTTGGTCATTCTTTTATTCACTTACTCATTTATTAATTAATTCACTTATTATTTAATTCTTAATTTACTGCTTAAAAATTTTTATTGAGAATGTAGTAGGAATTTTTCCCCATCTTGCTATTCAAAATTAAAATAGTCAGCACTTCTATGTGTATTGTTTGTATATATATTTCTTATGCCTTCCAAAATGACACAGTTCTCTAAAGAATAATCCCAATTTCTTTTTCTTCTTTTTTTATTACTTTTTTTTCTGTGTTAGAAATCAAACACAGGACTTCTAGGTAACTTGCCACTTCCCCAGTCCCACACATTTGTCTACTAATAATTTTCGTGGATATCCCAAAACAATCACTGCAGTATTTGATAATTTTATATTTAATAAACTTTTAATCAGTGCTTACAATAATCAAGTTGACCAAATCATATTTGAATTGACATACATTTGATTATATTCACTCTTTTAAAAAGAAAACAGTAGACATTCATAGACATTCAAACACTAATACATAGAATTATTTATTTTAAAAATGCAGTGATATCAAAAAGTACAATTCCTCATTTAAAAAACTTATTTTCTAAAGGAAAAGAAAGAATAGAGTTTGGTGCCACTGACTGACTCTTTATATGTCAGCACCCAGTGTGAACTTTGTTAATTTGGCAACTTTTTATTATTATTGCACCATAAATGATAGATGATAGATGTTTTATATGTTTATAAACATGCATGAGAAAAGAATTAGTTTACTGTGAATGACTCATCAATTTTATGAAGACATGTATGCCATGATTTAACCATCATTTATGGGACATGATCCTTTGCCTTTACAAATTTCAACTTTTAATATAACTATATACTCATAATATTCGTATTTCCACCTATTCACCTGTCTAACATGTATACCCAACATGATGACCACACAAGCAACAGTTGGAAGGCGAAATAATTAGAATGTGAGCTAACTATAACAGGCCAAAGAGCTGCTGAACCAGTCATCAGAGTAAGGCCTGACTTACCATAGCAATCAAGTTTAAAACGTGACCATGAAAAAGAACAAGGAGGAATTCCTCCACTGGCTTTGAGAGAAAAATACAGTATTTTATTCTTCTTTGCATGCCCTAGAACAGCTAGTAGTGTGTGTGTGTGTGTGTGTGTGTGTG